TTGGTTTTTTTTATTTTTGTGGATTGATTTGTAATCAATGGAGCCTGAACTGAACTGTGAAATTATTATATTAGAAATTATTAAATTATTACATCGGGAGTGTGGGAATCTTGTTTTATGGAGGTTGTGTAGGGGTTTCCTACTTTATATTATAAAGTAAAACAGTAGTGATTGGAGAAACAAATACGTGAAAACATTCAATTTGTTTTTAAGTGCAGCAGTCGTACAATTGTTATAATTAGCCCTATAATAAAAAGCTCCTAATGGCTGTTTTAGATTATTATTAATATGTACAACGAAAACTCACGAAACTCATATTGATATTCACCTTACATTGGTTACTTAACATAATATCACTACCAAAACCAGAAATATTACTTCTGAGGGTGAATGAGTGTAATAAAATTAAAATAAAATAGAAATAGAGATAAAATGACCAATATAGTAGAGTAATTCGACACACCCAGGATTGTTGAAGCGAGGGTTCACTGTATAAAATTAATTACTTAAAATTCAGTACACTAAAATTAACTTAATGTCACTGAAAGCCTTTCCTATACTCCAATTGCTTCTCTTAGTTTGGTATCCTTCTGAAAACGTGTTGATACTGATTCTATTAAGTAGTCAAACGAGTTTTGGGACATTCGATAATATTCAAAAAACTTGTCTGAATACTTTCAGTACCTATGCAATGTGTGGAACATCCCTTCCCTTTGGACTTTACGTTGCTTAATATTGGATGGGTCGATGGGTCCATCATTTTCCTGCTGTGATCGGCGTCGTCTTGATAAAGTACACTGATAACAACACTACGAATGTTAATTTGCGGCATGATCCAGGGCCACGTCCTCCGCGCTACACTTAACTGCTAGTGGAGCCACGGTGCATCTGAGGACGCTGCAGATTGTAGTTCGTACTCTGCTGCTAGTGGAGCCACCAACTGCAGCGTGTAGCGCGCTACAATTTGCAGCGCGACAATTTACGGCAAGTGGAGCCGCAGCCTAAATGTGCTGAAGGAAATGAGGCGAGAGATAATAAATCGTCGCGCCCTCTAGTTGCGATAGCGGGGATGAACGTATGCCCGGTCTGAAACGATCGTCGTTGAGTAAACAATTTTTTACATGTATAAATTAGTGATTCTATTCTAAAAATGTATCAAATATGTGTCCGATTTAAATTGGGAAGTTTAAAACATCGAACATGTAGGCCTACAATATACTATCTTTGAAATATATATTTTTTTAAATCATGGTTATATGAGAACAAAATATGAGAGAACAGAAGAAAATTCCTTAAGCAGTTTTACTGAAAATCGGCCATTCATTTGTACACTAAAATTGTACGAAAAGTGTTTATGGTGAACACTCAAGCATTCACCACATAACCCCTACAAAATGTACACAATCGTTTACTGCCGCTGTTGTGTTCACAGTATACACGACACAAAACGCACAACACTGATCTTGTGTAGTTGATAGCGATTAATTTATTCGATATTGCCAATCATCCCACGTAAGCCTTCATGGGTGTTTCTAAACATACAACAAGGCTTATCAATTACTTTTTTACACTCTGAGCGCACGATTTTTATTCAAATTCAATATCCTGAATAAAAGAGCATCTCCACACACAACGAGTAAAGAAAGCTAGAGTACCAATGGTACCATTACGTCCAAGGGGGCTTTCCTAATCTATTTACGTTGATTATTTTGTTCACAAATGATAGTGAAGCTCAGACAAAAAGATTAAGTGAAAAATTTGAAGTGGTCGGTGTTTACGGAAAACTAATTTCTACCATGTACAAGAAATCAATATTAACACTAATTTTCAATCGACAATAACGGCTTTTATTGTTACAACAGAAACCACCAGACACTGTAAAAAAACTGATTTGCCTAATTTGATCGATGATACAATTACACGTTGTTCCTAAATACCAAATCAACACGTTATAAATTACAAAAGCCTCGCTCATAAACAGCTTCCACCGGTAATCTGTTGCCAAACGCAGACTCGCTCAAAATTAATCTTTTTGCGAGGAGCGAAGAAAAATTTCTCCAAGATTAATAGCGGCGTGGAGGACGCTGCCAACTGTTCGGGCCTAATGAACCAATTACGAGAAATCTGTGACGTACGGGAATAGCGAAAAATGAGGTAAAAGTACACGGCCAGACTTGTCATTAATTAATGATGAGTACCGGGTAAATACATTAATTGCTACCTCGTAGATTTTTTCGTGTCGAATCACCTGTAGAAACCAAGAGTTATTTAAATTCATTAAGATTGTACAATACGACCACTTTAACATAAAACGATCTACATAAGAGGCTTAAAAGTTGTGGGACATTTCAAATACAGTGGAACCTCAATGAGAAGACCCTCCATAACAAGTGGCATTTACAACAAAAGTGATTTTCAACCGATGATTTCATACGACCCTATATTATTGCAAACCGTGATAAAAATCATATTCTATTATCCCTATGAGTTTGTTATCAAGGTTTTACTTAACTTTTTAAAATTATTCCAAAAAATGTGTTAAATCTTAGTTAGAATATTTTATCCCTGAAAACGAGTGATTGAATGCATAAAGGCGGGTCCCGGAACACTTCATCTCCTGATTCACATCCAAATCTGCAAGACCGCGACAGAGATGACTAATTGTGTTTACTCTGTGAGCCAAGACCTAGCTCAACACGTCTGTACATCATGTACTACAGGGATCAACCACCTCTGCGACCCCAAGTAATTTGAAACCAACCATTTAACCTGGGGAACACTTGGGATAGGTTTAAAGTAGACTTTATTTAATAATGCTAAAAAATTGTAAGAAGTCTTATTACCCAGAAACAAAATTCCTCCGGAAATTGACATTTTCAAGGAACTATTGAAACATTATAGCCAATTTTAATACATACTGTATCTGCAAACACTTCCTAGAATCCCCAATACTCTACTGACAGAGTAAAAACTTACCTACAATTATTGGTTTTGGAGAAATCTATTAAAAGTTCAACTGTGACAATGGGGCATTGAGACTGCATTGCATTACGTTGTCTACAATCACTCCAAGGCCCTGAAGTAATTCAAAGTCTATAACTAGATGTTGGCTTAGCTTGCACGTAGTATATTATTGCTACAATAGTAGCATCAGTCTACAATAGTAGCATCAGTCTACAATAGTAGCATCAGTCTAAAGTCGGGACCACGAAAGTTTGCAGTTGAGAGAGGAGCCTAATTATCACGTGACTTCGAAGGAGCCAATGAGGACAGTGCGGTGTTGCCAAATCTAATAATACCAGCTGATTTGAAAATATCGTTTATTATTTTAATTAGTGTCGTCAACGGGCGATATAATAACGTCGCACTAGCCTTGTCTTGTGATTGGCTGCCGCCTACTGCAAACTTTCGTGGTCCAAAATATAAGTAATTATATAAACAAATTATAATTTTGATATAGAATTACTATAACTGTGAAAACCACGTGTGGTAACGGGGCTATAGAATACACGTGTATTTTATAGCCCCGGTGTGGTAAGCCGAGAAATGTTGGGAAACGTTTAGTTGTAGCATTAGAAACTGATCAATGATACTTCTTAGAGTTAGTACTAGCTCGAATCGAATTAATTCCCCACTAATTCTTTGACAACTTAATAGCAATACCACACCGATTCTTGTCCAATAAAACATGACATATAAGCATTACCACAATTCAACTACAACCATCTGGACCAGTTTTATAGCAGCTAAATGTCAAGTCAACCGGAGAGTGCAGTGTTTAAAAAAACTAGGAAAAGGGGAATTGTGTGGGGGGGGGGGTCGGGGCACGCATCCAAAATCGTTCATCTTGTGAGTCAACATTGCAGCATTGCGATGAGTCAAGACATACAACAAAAAACGCGGGGTTTGAAAACTGAAATCGTCGTCTTTACGATTCAATTACAGTTAAAAGTTAATAATTATCTACTGAACTCGATTTTTAAATACATCAATTATTGTTAGGGACGAATAAGTAGGCTACATCCGTGGGACGCGTATACAGATATTGTTTTAATTACAAAGTTATGAGACAATTGATCGACGTAAATGCTATGTTGTAAACAATTTTAATATTTATTGCAAGCCACAGTCAACTGTCATCTTTAAATTTAATACGCAATTTGGAAATTCCAGTGTATATTTTTAAGTCGACTAATATTACAACTTCTACCAGGACTTACGCAATAAGCGAACTTGAAGCTCAGTTTCTACCTAGATGGACGAGAGACGTTTTTACTTCCATTATCAAGTTTTCCAACATCCGACATAAAAGCAAATACGACCGCGGCTTGACTTTTATACAAATTAAAAGTTTCCGAAACCAATTACATCAAAGGAGCGCTCCGTTATTTGGGGTTGAGTTTTGTCTGAACAATTAATGGGAAATGGTTGGATTGTTTACAGCTCATTTCGCAATTAGTTCTATGCTAAATTTAATGGAAAATTATTTTTTATGAAAAATAGCCTTGTTCTCCATTTTTAATTTATCAAAAATCAGGAGAAGGCGTAGTTTTACTCGTACGTAGAGACAATTTTTTTCAAACAATAGTGTGTGAAAAATCTCCATTACTAAATGTTGCCTCAATAACTAAGCATTTTAGTAATGCGTTAAAAAAACGATAAAATTTGTGAACTCTTCCTAAAAACCTCAAAACACTCTTTGGATAGAAAAAAAATGTCCAATACATTCCACGTACACGATAGACATCCAGGAATGTAATAGTTTTCTTGGATCGATTTACTGGACAAATATTCAACAAAATATAAATAGAAAACACAAGATAAGAGAAACATGGAAGAAATTACAATACCAAAAACTTTTGCAAATCAGTGCAACAACATTACTAGTTCTTAAAAAAAGGTTAACTAAACGATAGGATTCAAACATCTAATATACTACTATTTATGTAATCGGTTGGATCTTACCAAGTCCGATTTTATGTAAGTGCATTAAAGGATATTCAACCATAGCTTGGACGCCGTTCTTCTTGAAGATAACGATCCTCTGCACCTGGCCAATGGGCGAGCAGATCGTGTGAAGAACATGCTGCAACAAACAGAAATGCGGATTAGTTTAATGACATCTTTAGTTTAGGTAGACGTACCAGTGGTCAATTGTACTACTACATTTTGTTAACTTAACAATTTGTATATCCAAAGGAAAATAATATAAAGAAATTTCTTTATGTATTTTTTTTTTACAGGACACGCACATTTTATCTTGCAGAGGTAAAAAAAGTATTTTGCCTTGTCACTTTCAAAACACTACATTGCCGCATACAAAGGTTTTAAATGAGGTTTTAAAGGATCGTTGAAACGGCGACTAGGTCAACCCATATGAATGCGCATCGTGCATCCGATGCGGGAATTTGCATGCAATTGCATGTGAACGTAATAGAATTAAAATTATTCTCCTGTTGATAACATACAATGAGACCTAATTATAAAGCAAGTGAACTCGTCAAATAAAATACAATTGCTAAAAAGTTATCCAAAAACATTGTTGATCGTTAACAGATGAAATGATCCATTAGCCAAGGCTTTTCCCTAATAGAACAGACCCCTTGGTTACTGACGAACAATGTAGGTTAAAAATCCTATTATACACTATCGGAAGGTACATTACAGGTGTCATCGCATCGAAACGATCTCTACAATACAAGTGAAGGTAGGTATATGCGACCATCCCATAATCTAGTTTCAACCCCTCCCCCCTTCCAACGACAACTTACCACTTTAACCCTTGCAATTATTTAAAGAGTAGTAATAACAGAAGGGGATTGTGTAAAAGATTCTGATGAATAAATGACAGACTATTATATTCAAATCTCGTTTCAATACATACTAATCTCCTACTAATATTCCGAATCAATAGTATATAATTATGTTTCCTGTAGAAAGGTGTTTTAATAGCACAACAGCGAAAACATACAACACAAAGTCAACAATTCTCAAATACAGGCGATAAGGTTTTTATATTAAAATAGTAGGAGACTCAAATAACACCGAGAGAACAGACTATCCCCTACAAACATTGCATATGAAACAAAAAATCTGTAATATCAAATCGATTGTGTTACTGTGGTGAATTTAAAACTTAAGTACGCGATGGTGACTTAATCAACAATTCTCCCTTTTATTTGTACCTACCTTCGAAATTAACAAATTTAAATAATTCTGACCTCTACGGCTGGAAGAGAGCCACAAAGTATTACAAAGTCGACTGTAGGTTGTGGGAGATTGCAATCAATTGAAATCCACAATTAGGAGCGGGCGCGGCTGGAAGAGAGCCACAAAGTATTACAAAGTCGACTGTAGGTTGTGGGAGATTGCAATCAATTGAAATCCACAAGTAGGAGCGGGCGCGGCTGGAAGAGAGTCACAAAGTATTACAAAGTCGACTGTAGGTTGTGGGAGATTGCAATCAATTGAAATCCACAAGTAGGAGCGGGCGCGGCTGGAAGAGAGTCACAAAGTATTACAAAGTCGACTGTAGGTTGTGGGAGATTGCAATCAATTGAAATCCACAAGTAGGAGCGGGCGCGGCTGGAAGAGAGTCACAAAGTATTACAAAGTCGACTGTAGGTTGTGGGAGATTGCAATCAATTGAAATCCACAAGTAGGAGCGGGCGCGGCTGGAAGAGAGCCACGAAGTATTACTAAGTCGACTGTAGGTTGTGGGAGATTGCAATCAATTGAAATCCACAAGTAGGAGCGGGCGCGGCTGGAAGAGAGCCACGAAGTATTAAAAAGTCGACTGTAGGTTGTGGGAGATTGCAATCAATTGAAATCCACAAGTAGGAGCGGGCGCGTGACTGGGAGATGTTAGGAGTTTCAATATTTTATACGTAATGTATTACTTGGTGGCAGATTGTGCACGGAACACAACACTGTAATGGAGAGAACTAATGTAAACCAATGATTTGTTACTGAACCAGAACTACCAGAGAGAAGGTATTACATGTTAATATTTAATTCATCCTTTATGCGTGTGTTGTGCAACGCACGGTACAAAATTTTTCGTTACGTTCATGATTGTGAAGGATAACTATTTAAATTTTAGCTTATGGACGTTTCCTTTGCTACACTAAGTTTCGGGAGGCAAGGAAACTCCTACTGTATTCAAGTGACTATTAATATCTACACCTACCTAAACCTTATCTAACCTAACATGCCCATGTTTTATTCATTTTTTCGTCCAGGCCGGCTCCGTACCGATTAATATACTTGTATTTAGTTTTAGTTTTACTGTGTGTATAGTTTTTTAGCATACTGTTTTTTGGGGTTAAGTACCTAATATATTTAATGTAATTTAATGCGTGGAAAAACATTAGTTAGGTTTGATCAAATTTAGGTTATATGGATAGGTAGAGTATTATACATCGCTTGGTTGGATAGATTAATTAGGTAGTTGAAAATATGAGTTTCCGTACCTCGCCAAAACCATAGATTAAAAACAATTATGTCAACGCCTTTATGCAGAAACGTGGACTCAGAATGCCCATAAAATACAATAAGTAATGAGAAATGTTACCTAATAAAGAAACATATAAATACTAGTGGAACCTCAAGACACTAAGCAGGGCAGATTCAGAGTCCTTAATATATAACTTACTGCAATTGTGAAATATGTTTTAGCATTATTGTCTGACCTGTTTTCAACCAAGACGGAGTTAATTCTGATGCATTGTACTTATTTTATAAGGCGTCTTTATTTTACATTATTTAGAAATAACTAAAAAAAAAAACATTACAGATGCAAAATATTCCAATGCCAATAACGTATTCAGATCAAATTACAATACATTTCTTATATTTTATTGGTTAATGTAATAAACATAAGTGACCCTTTTTGGAACATCTCATAGTTGAGTGCAGAATTGTATCACCATATTGGTAATAAACGCCTTTCCATCGAATGAACCAATAAGACATAAAACTCTTTGCGCTCCATGGCTACACACAGTTTAGCGAATTGAGAAAAGTCTATTTTGCATTTATATGTTTTTAATATGTTAATATGTTTTTATTCTATCATAGGCCTATACCTATGATGGAATAAAAACATATTTGGTCACACAGCATTTGTTTAAAGATGATTTTTCACATTAAAACTGCAAGAAACTTTGTCTTTATATGTGTAAACTAGCTGATCTGAATTGTACACGGTTTTAACTGACTACTGAATTCCCGTACGTAGGACGGGCTAACACCTCGTAATGAGTTAAAAGAATTTTATAAATACAAATACCATTTATTACCATACGATTTATAGTAAAAAATAAACCTTTAAACTCAACGTCTCGGCACGAATATCGGAGCTGACGTCACAAAGCGAGGGTCGCACAGCGGGGGGCGGGTGAAGGGGGGAGGAGGGTATTTATGTAGGGTAGTTAGTGGTTAAACTTTGAAATCCAAGTCTTGTGGTCTCCGCTAATTAAATACTTGTTCAGTATTAAATATTAAAATTGCAGGTGGTCTTAGAACTCCAATACAAGTTTTTATCCGGTAATGTACAAAAAAATGTAGTTCAAAGTTATAAACTGTAACTTAAACAAGTTACAGAATATAACCATTATAACATAGACTAACTAGAATATTTTGCGATTTTTGTAGTTTCAAGTACCGTACTGTAGCAAACACTTTTAAAATCTGAATCCTTGTCAAAGAATTTTTTTATATTAGATCAAGTAATAGACCAAACAACTGTCATTTGCATCTATACAATGTTTATACATTGGCGTAGACATTATATTTGCAAGCAAATACTTCTTACCCAATCAAAATTGGGACTCAAGATCTTAAATTGTTAATATAAAATTAAATTTACTACTAAAAGCTACGTAATAAATTTTAATAAGAAATATTTCTCAGAAAAATCCTAACTTAAAACAACACAATTTTTGTAAACATTCAACAATAAAAAAACAATAAACCTTCAACCAAATCGTGTGCCGAGACTGTATGCTCGGTACAATGTTTTTATCTCGTCAACATGTTTTTGCTAATCACTCGTAATGGAGAAGCTGTCGTCCGGTGACAGCGACGTATCATCATTTGTCACGAGATGTGTTTTGTGATTCCTCCTTCTCCGCACAAACACAACAAGACACAAACAGACTGTGAGTGACGATCTATCCAGCTGAGATGAACCACCTGGCCCTTGTTGTTATAGTTACACGGTTATTGCTTTAAACAGTTCCTAGCCAAAGCAATATCTAGGGTATTAAATCCTTCTATCGCCAAGTAAGTAGAATATAATACACTGTAAATAGTCAATTTGATGAACATGAAAGATGATTGGGAAAGTTAAACCGCGTCCCACACGCTCCTCACTCTAGGATCAGGTTGGGTTTTAAACCCCACTAAAATACGTGAAGGATTTAACACGTTTTCCAGGTTTAAACGGAATCAGAGAATTTCACGAGTAATTGTGGCATTGGACACATATGAGTGAAAGAGTTTGGTTTCAGGGAACTCTACGTTGAAAAATTGCAAAGGTTCATCGACCCTAGTATGAAGATGTCAGTTATCAATTAAAAAAAATACAGCTCAATAATAAATTCCATATCGTTACTCATCGCATCAATTGTTTTAATCTAAATATCGTGGTTTACACACTGTGATAACATGGCAGACGTTTCTCTACTAAACATAAATAAAGTTTCATAAAATGACTGTATTTTATTTGGTCCGGGCGACAATATTTCACTACTCTGTGGCCAGACGGATCGTGTGACAAGTTCCAATTTGTCTCTGTGATCTGTCATCCCCCGCCCTGTATTTACCCTTGGGTGGAAAACAAGCGGCGAAAATTGTAGGAAATTATCCTACTCCTTGGAGTAAAGACTTCCGTAACATATCATTTGGGGGGTTTGACCTGACGAATGAAGAAAAAAAACTACTTCGTGGACTGGGTATTAATTAAGTCTTGCAATATTGAAAACCCCAAAATAATCGTTCAAATGTTGATAAATGATACCTTTAACGATTAATAAAAGTAGACACTTCATCCCTAAGATAAAGTTGTCCCCAGTTTACCAATCA